TTTAGTAAAGAGTAGAATTCACTGTAAGGTGGATATGTCTTTGGATTAATCCAAAGGACTTTTATTATTGAAGCAACAAAAAGACTTCATGGAAAAGAGGTGTTTTCGCTCAGCCATTTGTTCACCAAACAAACATTTGTTAAGCACCTACTGTGTGCAGAACACCATGTTAAGAGCTATGTAGGAGAACCTCAAAGACAGCATTATGCCAAAGCTTCTTTTCCCTCTTTTGTGTGTTTCTTCTGCCATAGATAATTTTTTAAAAATAGCACAGGCCCTTATTAGCAATTGCCACTTGACAGGGGCAGCTAGGTATTGCAGTGTATAGAGAGCCCTGGCCTTGGAGTCAGGAGGACCTGAGTTCAAATCCGGCCTCAGACACATGATACTTATTAGCTGTGTGACCCTAGGCAAGTCACTTAACCCTAATTGCCTCACCTAAAAAAAATTAAAAAAAGAAATGTACTTGACAATGGAACTTCTAAATATCTCATGGAATTATCTCAGTTGGATGTTTTTACTCACTAGGCCATTTGGAGTTGAAATGAATCTTAGAGATCATCTAGTTCCATTCACCTCCCCCTTTTACAGATGAGAAAACTGAGGCCCAGAGAGATTAAGCAACTCACCCAAGATGACAAAGGTGGTAAGTAGCATGTCTACCAGAATGTCCTCAACTCTGATGCCAGTGTTCTTACCATTAAAACATACTGGCTCATTCACACCTGAGGCATCCTCCCTTCACCCATTGGGTTGGAGCAAACGTAGAAAGATTTATAATTTGATAAGCTGAGAGACAGCTGAAGTTATGATTCTCTAATCATTAACATGCAATTTGAAAATTAGTTTCTTTGTGAAATCTGCCTTGGATGAACAGAAAATGACATATGTATTTATCAACCCCAATGCAACTGACTGCTTTCCTTTCCTCAATGGTATATATTTATATTTGCATGCATGTTAGAATATATGCATATATACATACATACATGTTTGCCTTCCCTCAAAAACTGCATGCTCCTTGTTTTATTCCTAGTTATATACTTAAATACCTACTTACTGCTGCTAAAGTCTGTCAACTGGCTAGTGTTTACCAACAGTCAGCAAACTGGTGGATTAAACCAGGGAAACTGTTTCTATTATTAACTTTATTTAAGTGATGGCTGAAATTCTCATTAGGGACCATTAACATAGATTTCCCTTCTAACCCCACACTTTGCACTTTGGTGGCTTCTGTTTCTTTTTGCAAACATTACATTTTTATTAAAGTTCAAGACAAATTTAGCTTTCCTTGTTGGAACACAGAAGGCCAAAAATGACAGATCTGATTATTCCATTGTGACAACTCAAAATGAACCTAAATCACCTTTCCTTTCCTGCAAAGGGGAAGCAAAGTCTTATTTTTATTCATACTTCAATCTCTGAATAGCCCTTACTTAATACTTCCTGTATTAGAAGTGTCACTGTGAGATGACAGATTTCCTAGAGGCTGCATTTCTGGTTTCAGCCAGGACAAAGCATTTTGTTCTACAGATTTCTGTTCTACTTTATATTTGATATTCCATATTAAAGTTATGTATGTTTTGGTCTTTTTTTCTATCAGATTACATAGGATTTTAGATAGATAGATAGATAGATAGATAGATAGATAGATAGATAGATAGATAGATAGACAGATAGATAGATTATATATAGGATGGCAGGGATTCCAGGGATGGGAACCTGCGGCCTTGAGGCCACATATGGCCCTCTAGGTCCTCAAGTGCATCTCTTTGATCGGATACAAACTTCATGGACAAATCTCCTTAATAAAAGGATTTGTTCTGTAAAACTTGGACTCAGTCAAAAGGCTGCACCCAAGGACATAGAGGGCCACATGGGCCTCGAGGCCACAGGTTCCCCACCCTTGGACTACATATTAGCTAAACCTTCTGCTTCCTCTAGCACCTGGCACAGTGCTTGCACTTGAGAAATGATGCACTTAAGAAATTTTCATGAATTAATGAAACTTTAGAGCCAAAAGGCACTTCAGATATTATCTGGATCAAGAGTTCTTCACAGGCAGTATGGGGATTAGGGTCATGGAGATATTTTAAAGCGGTCATGAACTTAGATGGAAAAAAGTTACACCTTAATTTTTATTCATCTCTAAATTAAATTGAGCATTTTCTCAATTATCGATTTTTAAAAACCCCATTATTCTAAGATGTCCATAGACTTTGTTAGAGCCCCACAATACAAAAAAGGTTGAGAACTCCTGAGCTAGATTGAGGGGTAAAATCATTGTGGAGAAGGGATCTCCTTTCTCTGTCACCACATACCGACTGCTGACTAACTGCCACCTCCTATCACGTATGGCCCAGAGCCCCACTAGCAGCAGTGCTCTCCTGGTCAGAGTGGCCTCCTTCCAGCCCAGCCCACCCAGCCATCATCCCAGGAAGCAAGCCCTGGGGAAGAGGAGCCAGACATCTCTATCAACAACCTGACAGCTGTCAGGGACAGGTGGACCAAGCTAGCTGAAGCAGCAAGATGTCCTGAAGGAATGACTGAAGGCACCTCAATCAAAACCTGCCCTCAGGCTACTGTGGAATAAGACCTGGCAATTGCTTCCACGGGTGCTACAGCCCCTGTCTCCTCAGCCACACAGAGACTAAAGTCCCAGAAAAGAAAAGTTTTGACATCAAAGTCCTTGGCATTATCAAATGGTTCAATGTCAGAAACAGATATGAATATAGGTGGAAATAACATTAAAAAGATTATATTACCATCTGCTTTGCTGCTGCATCCTAAGGACCATGGGATCTTTTCATCTAATTTGCAGCTGAAAACTATACGTGTTCTTTCCCCATTAGAATGAAAACTTTTTTGGGGGGACAAGGCAACTGAGGTTAAGTGACTTGCCCAGGGTCACACAGCTAGTAAGGGTCAAGTGTCTGGTCTGAGATCATATTTGAACTCAGGTCCTTCTGACTCCAGGACCAGTGCTCTATATACTTTGATACCTAGCTGCCCCTTAAATGCAAACTTCTTGAGAGCAGGGACTGTCTTGCTTTTCTATCTGTATCTCCAGAACTCTTAGCACAATGATCTGCACATAGTAAGTACTTAAATACTTTCCATTCATTCATTCATTGATAGTTCAATACTCTCATTTGATAGATGAGGAGACTGAGGTCCAGAGAGGTTAAATGCTCAAACACAGAAGATGACCATTGGGAATTGATAAACAAATTATGGCACATGAATATCATGGAATATTATTGTAATGAAAGAAATTAAGAATATGATGAATACAAAGAAGCATGGAAATACTTACATTAACTGTTGCTAAATCAAGTAAGCAGAAGCAGGAAAAGTAGATCCAGAAGAACATACACAATGACTAAACAATGTAAATGAAAAGCACTACCGCAAAACAATAAAAAACGAATGTTGTGATATTATAAAGAATGGGTGTGGCCCCAAAGAAGACAGAAGAAGACACCCCACCACACATCCACCCATTCACACACACACACACAGACACCAACATTGCAGCTGATACTGGTGGAATACTGCATATGATGTCAGTTTTTTCAATATATTGATTGGTGTTGTTGACTTTTTCTCTTTTCAACAACAAAAAAACCCCTTTGTTATAAGGGATGGTGGAGAGTTGGTTCTACAAGGAAAAACCTAGCCAATGAAAAAACAAAAACCATCAATACAAATGCATCATTTTAAAAGTGACTTGTCCAAGGTCACATAGCTGGGTAGAAGGTAGAGCCATGCCTGTTTGCTAAGCTTGGAAAAATTATATACCTTTATTTATCCTTTTGATCTCAAGGTGAAAAACTTTCTATATACCCTTTTGTTTTACTAAGAACCTATAGTAAGACCAATTAGACAAACTAGAATTTTGTCAAAAGCAGAGAAAACCGCATACTTTATTAACTGTTAACAATATTAACAGACCTCAGGAATGACTTTTTTAAAGCCGTATTCATTTATTCAGCATTAAACAAACTTTGATTGATTGACTTCTCCATGTAAAGTTCTGTATTTTCTCAAGGGTTGTTAAAACAAGCTGGGTTTACAAGGTAAATTCCTAGTGTATCAGACATAGTGTAATGATTTACTTTCTGAAATGATCTCTTGTCAGGCTTGTGTGGCAATACCATAAAATGGATTGATCGATTATAACCATTTGTGGTTGGGTGTGCCCTTTGTTAAACATGGCTGCTGTCCTGCACATGTGTTCCCCAGATGAAGTTTCATCCCTAAAATTCTGCTTTCCTTCTGCACGCTTTGCATACCACTTGGATATCCTTTGTCAGCTGAAAATCCTCTATAATTATTGACCTGCAAACTTCAAAAAGCTCAAGATGAACTTCAGCAGAAGAAACATTGTTCACATTCAAAAATCAAATTAGAACACATGTGTTGGACTTTATATCTGGGGACCATGTGTCAGTCGTTTCAAATTCAGAGAATATACTGTCACAGATGGGGATGGTTGATCTGATCTATAGTGTGCTACATGGGCCAAACAAATACATTCACCACCAATGAAGTGATTATATTGTGTATAGTACTCTGGGACTTGACTATGAAAACTTTCTTTTTGAACAGTGTTCATACTAGAACCTTTCTCATTACCATATTTTATTTGCTTTTCCTTTTTTACTATGAACTATTAGGGGAAGAACTTGTATATTTTCCCAAGCACTAAATAAAACCCAACAAATTCAACAGACATTAATAGAACACCAACTGTAGCATGGATAAGTCACAGCACTGGTCTGTGGGAACTGGAGGGGGTTTCCAGAGAAGAGTATGCACAGACCCTGCCCTCAGGGAGCTTAGGTTACACTCAGTGGGGGCTCAGTACTATTCAGGCAGATGAATTCATTTCCTAAGCATGTGCCTCAGACACTTTTTTCCTTTTTTCCATAAATATGGCTCCACTTCAACCCCATTGCCCACAATTCCCTTTTTCAAAATAGGCCCAAGGAGCATACCTTTTGTTTCAACTGTAATACCATCTGTTTCATTTGGTGGAACTCCTTACAAGTGGCACAGCAGGTTCCTGCCTTCAGCACATTCTCTACATTCTCATCATGTCCTGGGAAAGAAGACTGGCTCAGTTAGATCTAAATGGTTGAAAAGAATCACCTCTTGTGCATGAAGGCATAAGCAGGCTTCTACTCTGACCCTGAAACGTGCAAGGTATACACGTTCGCAATTTGTACAGCTCTTCAGTCACTGATGGGAGCGTCACAGGTCAGGGGAGAATGGTGTGAAAGAGACCTTGCTGCATTTCAAACCCAGCTGTTTTGATTTAAGGGTCCCCAGAGCCTTTCCACTTTGGGATGTGAGACTGTTTGCCACTACCCTTTTATCAGTGCCTCTCCGGAAGGCAGGTCCTATAAACCTGACATGATTTATACCCACCGAAAAGGGCCAATTATTCAGGCATTGTAAATCATACCCAGATTCCAACACGATTCTTGTGTAGTTTACAAAAAGCTGGTCTTCTTCACTGTAGATTCATCTGCTGTTCAGCAAGCACTTCCAGATAGGGCAGGATTGCAGGAGGCACATTTTGGAATTGGGAACTGACATCAATGTAAGGGACTTTAAGCCAATTTGGACCGGCAGAAGATATGAGGAACACTAACCACATTCACAACTGTCTTAAACCTGATAGAGTATTTGGAGAACGTTGTTGTGCTCACACTAATCCCAGTAGTTCCAAACCACCTTCTATCATGAACTAGCACGACCTTGCATGTTTCAGGGTTTTATTATAAAATTATTTTCACCATGACACAGGAACAGTCAATAAAATATCACCTTCTTGACACAGAAACAAGATATCGAAATTCAGAGCTTGGAGAGGGCAAATGAGCAAAGGTAGCAGTGGTTTCCAAATGAAAGTGTTCTGCCAACGTATGTGGATGGCAAAGAAAGACATAGTGTGGGCTTATGTGATTGGCAGGTCAGTTTTTCACCTGGAACGTGTCATCCCAAAGGCCTAAAAGCAACCTAGTATGTGGACTCCATGCATACTAAGCTCTTTAAATAATCACTGGTGGTATCAATGGTGACCTAAGGATCACAGAGGAGACATAATCTGTTCTTCCTACCTTTAAGGTGGTAACATGCTTACAACATGCTACACCTTTTCTTGATTCTCTTCAGGAATACAAAACTCATTCCCTCATTTATGTCTATCAAAATCTTATCTCAAGGCCCAGATCAGATCCTGGTTCCCCCATAAATCCTTTTGTAATTATTCAGCTAGTAATAATCTTTCTCTTTCTAAATCAATTATCTGTACCTCTCATTTAGCAGGCATTATAAAAGAATTCCTTATGCTGTGATTGTCTGCTTGCCTTGTTACCCCAACTACACTCCAGACTACTTGAGGGCAGGGAATACGCCTTCTTCTTAAATTTGAATTTTGCCATGGTGCCACGCACATTGTAAGCATGCAACAAATACTTGTTCAATAAGTGAATGAATGGACAGGGTACCAGGGGAACATTGCACATAGACAGACCTCTTCTCAATCCTAACAATTTAATTCTTTCTCTGCTAATGAAAACCTAGAAGTTTAAGTGAACCAACAGTGAGTGCCCAAGGAATCGGGGTGGCACACCCCAGAAACAAAATGGCAAAGAAGTTGCTAGTATCCAGGAAAACTAGGGAGATAGTAAAAGAGCACTAAGCTGTCCTTGATAAGTTTAAGATACTAGATGCATAAAATTATACCTCAAGGCAAGGTCGAATTTAAATAGAAACAGATCCCTGATGGCTGCACATTGATGCAGAAAATCAGAAATTGACTTTGTTTATGTTGGATTGTATTTTTATTTATTTTGTTAAGCATTTCCCAAATATATTTTAATCTTGTTTGAGTCATACTCCTGAGGTTTTAGGCTGTTTGTGGACTGTGAGTTTGCTACTTCTTCCCTAAGGGACTGTTGGAACTATCAGATGTGATTTCCGAGCCACAGTCCGTGACCTCTTCTGTAGTACTGGAAAGGAAAAAGTGTTATCTCAATTTTCAAAAAAGGGAGATGGGCTGAGAGTGACTAATTCCTGGCAAAGTTTTAGAACATACTATTAGTGAGGTCAAGGGAGGATAAAGACAAAGGCAAAAATATGGGGGTCCTCAGCAGGTTCTGGGTAGCTTGGAGTCAGGGTTGGAGGTGGAGGGAAAGCAAGAGGGAAGCGAGCCCATACTGATAGCTAGATGGAATATCACTGTGAACTATGAATACAAAGAATTCAGGGAACCATGGGAAAGACATATATGAATCCATATAGAGAGAAGTAAGCAGAATCAGTGATGACTACAACAGTGCAAATGGATAGAAAACCAAGAAGAAGTAGTCAGTAGAAACCAAACACAGTTTAATTGTAATGTGTAGGAAAGTTGGCTCAGGAGAGTTGAGACATGATAGCTTCCTTCATATTACTGAAGGGCTGTAATGTGGAAGAAGGAACAGATTTGTTCTCTAGAGAAGCAGATTTAGTTTTGCCTAGAGGAAAAACTTTCCAAATGTTAGAACTACCCAGAATGGGAATGGGTTGTTTCAGGAAATGATCAGAGAAGGTCTACAAACAAAGGTGAAATGACTACTTATCAGTCACGTTGAAGACGGAATTCTTGTTCAGGTACAAGTTGGATTAGATGGACTCTGAGGTCCTTTCTGACTTTGGGACTCTTTGGAACATTTGGTGTGTGTGCAGACACACAGGCACACACAGACATGAACACATATGTATACAGACATATGCATCATATAGTATATACATTTACATAGTACAAGATATATGAGTATTTGTGTGTCTGTCTACATAATCTCTTTATCAGAGTAGTATTGGGGAGGTGGAACTGCCTAGAAATCCTATTCCCAGGGTCACTTGAGGAGTCCTGGAATTTTCCTACCATTAATCTGATGACATCACATAAAACTGTGAGTCTTGCTTACTCTGTAGCAGCCTAAGGTTTTGCCGGAAAGCTTTCAATTCAATTAAAATACTTATTACACACCTATTATACATAAAGCACTGTCTTTGACTCTAAAAAGGTATTCCTTTTCCCCTAAAAATGTCTAATTTTGCCTTTCAAGGAATTATCAGAGGGTAGAATGTCAACAATGTTACCATCCAAAGTATGTAAAAGATCCTGTTATTAACAGTGTCAGAAAAGCAGTCAGCACCATGGCCAGCAATAGTAGAGAACTGGAGAGTAGTTGACTAAATTCTGCAGGAAAGTTGTGGGAAAACAATGGAGCCCCCTGTGGGACTACATGAAGCATGGCAGCCTGTAGGGATGGCACTAGTAGACATATGTATTAAGAGAAAGGGTTGCTATTGATGGCAGCGCATTCAGTTAGGCTGCCTCATCCTTATGCTTTGGAGCAGTTAGGATTTTTCACAGAATAAAATTTGGATGAGCCTCTATTGTGTAGGAAGGGTTCTAGGTTCCTCACCTCCACCTCCACTCACCAGGAGCAATTTACCTGGATATAGTTTTGTTTCTCTTCATAAGTTGGCTAACTAGTAAGGCAGAAAATAGGAGAGTATTTCTACCAGTTTTCTGATAACTTATGGTGCTACTTAATGCCAATACCACAGTACAAGAGGTCAGCATTCTAGTAAGGACTATGTGTTTGATGAGAGGGTCTCTCAGAAACAACTCTGTCTATATTTTTTGATTACTTTTTCTGAGACAATCGCATCACCTTAGGGACATGTTTTGAGAGCTATGATGTAACACTTGTTTGTTTTCAAACTGGCTGAGAAAGCCGATCTATGAAAACACATAAAGAATGCTATTCCACTTCCCTTTGAAATTAGTAGCTTAATACATATTTTTAAATTATCTGACACTGAAGGGGAATAATGCTGCCTGCTTTCCCCCCCTCCCCAATATACAAATCTGCCACATGCTTTATATATCCTTTTAGAATCTACACATTATTCAATCTGCCTGTGAAACTTTCTGAAAGTAGTATTAAAAATAACAATGTTTTACACAAGGCAAAGTCTCTAGGATAAAGTACCAACTTCTCAGTCTAGCATTCAAGTCTCTACATTTTGGCTCCAACCTATCTTTCCAGTCTGATTTCACATTGTTCCCACATTCCAATGAAACTTAGATGATTAGATGTTCACATCCCCTACTTCCCATCTCCACTTATTCACACATACTATACTTTATGTTCAGAATGCACTCTGTCCTTATTTCTACCATTTAGAAATTTATCTAATGCTTTTCTTCCTTCAGGGCTCAAGTTAGCTACCAACTCTTCTTTTCATCTTTTCTGACCCCCCTTATTTTCCAGTGCTCAAATCACCTTCTATTATATTTACTTATATGCGTGTTGTAATCTCTCCAAATAAGGTTAACTCTTTGAGGGTATGGACCATTAATTTTTGCCTTCATATTCTCTGGGCTTCCCACAGTGCCTTGAATCTAAAAGGCATTTAATGTGTGTTGTATTGAATTGAATTGAAAAATACTTTCCATGCTAGGTAGTTTTTAATGATATTTTAAAATATAATCTGTCTAAGAATCTGAGAGTGTCTATTTCTAGTCTTATCGGATGAAGACTGTGTTGATGGTTCTGTGAGAAAACCCCGAATCAAGATGCATTTTCTTTGTTTTCTGTAAAAGTGCCATGTTGCTGATTGACCACATGGTGGCATGTAATTCTATTTGTGTGTGTGTGTGTGTGTGTGTGTGTGTGTGTGTGTGTGTGTGTGTGTCTGTGTGAAGCCCTGACCCCTCTGTAGCATTTTAGGGATTGAATATGTGAGCTACTTATCACAGAGCTTATTGATATTTTTCAGTAGCTCTTTACAGACTTAGTTTAAAAAAAAAAGCACAAAATGTTACCAACATCGTGCATGAAGAAAGTCCCACAAATATGCAAAGTATGTTAGTTTATTATTCAATATTGGTCATGCAAACTGGGTCCCTGAATTGCTGGGGCTTGGAAACTTCTAAGAGGGCCTGGGATATGTCTGACACTTCGAATTATAATAAGCCATTCTAGATGTCAGGAACATTTTATCAGAAGACAAAGTGGAGAAAATGGAAACTAG